TTATTAAGTATAGAGGCCTCGAGGACGAAGAGGCCGCGAGTCGATGGCCGAGTCGATCGAATAAGTGGCCTTCGGGCGGAATTCGAACACGAGTTTCCCTGAACCGATTCGCTTCTCAACCTGAGATTAATATCCCGCAGCTCTCGTGGAGACAGGAAATTATTATATTGGGCGATACATCGAGCCGGTGTCGAGTAAAAACTTGGAAATTATGATCAATTCCACCGATTTCCGACAGGGATTACGTAGATTTTAAGTGATTTCTAACGTGACACGGGTACATTCGAGTTGTAAAATTTTATTCTCGAATCAAGGTTTTAATTCGGGCAATGGAACTCCTGTTTGGCCAATTTCTCCTCGAAATCGGTAATAATTGAAGGCATATTATATTGGCATATTTCTTCACACACGTTCTATCGAATTTCTTCTTAATCGTGATACAAATATTTTATAGTTGCTCGTTTTTGATGCTAAATAATTGGTTTTTTATTATATGGAAACTCTATCTTAAGTTATAAGCAAATTTCAATTACTTATAACTTAATAAATAAAATCTCTAAAAGATTGATGTTATTCCAACTTTTGTGCTTGCTTTAGCCTCGCTTATTTTTTAAAGATAAATATATATTCACATTCAATTGTCGCCACTCGACAAAGGAAATAAGGAAATTGTTTTGAAACTAATTAACCTTCGATCGAATGAAAAATGCTTTTCTTACTGATTTACCAGAGTTTAATGATCCAAATGATTTCGTTACAATCGAACGCGTGAGAGAAACAATCGAGCCCGATCCTTCTTATCCCTGTTCCCGATCCAAATATGAATAATTGCGCGCTCGGTTTTCTCTCGAATGGAATTTCAAAAGAAAGCCACCTTCCACGATCGATAAGAATAATAGGAAGAAGAAATGTGCAGCAATCCCCGTGGTCGATCGTTTTTAATCGCCGGTCATCATCTCCATGAATTCTGCAAGAGAAGAATTAACCAAAAGTTAAAAGAAGAAAAGAAAAAAGGAGAAGTGTAGATAATACGAATCTTCACAAGCATCGACATCGATTTTCGACTCTATATATTCTTCCATGCAAGCGAACATATATGTATATTCGAAAGAGAGACTTGTAAGAGAAATCTCGAATATTATCTCGAGATAGCTCTTTTCATTTCGCGCGAAAAGAAATCTTTCTTCTGGGAAGCAGCAAGTAGTAATAGTAGTCGTGTCCTTTTGAAAGATATTTTTGAAAGAAGCTGGAGAAGAGGACCTTCAATCGAGCCTTCGATACAAGAAGGGAAAAAATTTCTTTTTATCCGATAATACACACACACAATCTCCTTCGATTAACTTTTCCACGACATCGTAATCGGCATCGTGAGAATAATCAGTATGCTCACCGTCAAAGTCGACGGTTCCAGATCCGTCTGTATCAATTTCAGCGATCATTCCGTCCATTTGATCGGGCGTTATCTGGTCGTCGAGAGCAGCGAGGATCTCCCTGAGAGAGCTGGTTGGAATGTACCCGTTCCCCTCCTTGTCGTAAAGCCTGAAAGCCTCTTTCAGCTCCTTCTGCAGGGCCTCGTCGTCCTCCTCTTGGAAGTGGCAGGCAACCCGATAGAACGAGTCGAAATTTAATTTGCCGCTTCCTGAAAGGTTAACGATTTAAAAAGAAGAAGAAAGAGAAGGAGAATGAAAAGGAAGAATCGTCTCTTCGTGGCTGATCGACAATGTAAACAAGTTCACCTCATCCAAGTCTCTCTTTCCTTTTTTTGGTGGAGAAATATCCTAGATCCGATATACACACTTGGTACCCGTCCAAAAAAAGGATATACCCTCCTCCCCCTCCTAATAAATTTTAAATTTATAATATATTATCCAAGTCATCATCTCGCTCGATCGATTATTAATCGATTTTCTTCGAAACGAAAAATTATTCGCTCGAATAAATGGGAAATAGTATCGATTTCTGCACGATATCTGCATAATAATGCAAGCTGATAAAGCTAGAATTGTCTCTCATTGTTTTCGCGAGGCAATGGATCGAGAAAAAATGGACAGAGAAAAGTGAAGCTGAAGGCTCTCGATCCTCGATTTCCTTTTCAGGGCAAAGAAACACCCCCTTTTATCCAGATAGATATAATACCTATCCATGCTCATCTTCTTTCGTTAAACTCGTTGTAACTCGTCGTGCTCGAGCGAAAGTGAACTCATTTTGCGAAAAACAGATACTTTTTAATCTTCCTCGTTTCTTGGAACGACTCGACGTCTAAGTAAGAAGGGAAGATGAAAAGAAAAGGATATTCACGACGAGATTTCTTCCTTTCGAGTTCAAAGGGAAATCAGATATCCACCCTTCACTCTTCGTACAATATCCCTGTGATGAAAGGAAGGGAATTGTCGTTAACGTTCTCCCCGATTATTTATCATTCTTTCCCTCCCCCACGTCCATAGCATCGAGCAATCTTTTAGAAACGCCACCAGGGAAATAGGGGCTAGGTCTAGGTACATATAGGCGGTGCTATTAAAATTGATTGGAAAAAGTTAAACGCTGCCCTGGTAATGAATACCGGAAGGCACCACCAGCTGGGAAAGCACAGTGTAAGCGCTGTGTGTTTCCCCGTTCGTTCGGCTTTCGTTCACCGAGGTACACGTGGTGTACCCCGTGTCTCCGGCCATATTATATCATGAATTATTATTTGGCCTCGTTCGCTCGAACGAAGCCGATCGATCCACGTCGACCGTCGAGCAAGTCGTTCCAAAAAAAAAAAAAAAAAAATACTAATTGCTGTAAAACTCGATTGCTGGTCGAAAAGATGTGTTTTAGATAGAAAAGAAAAGAAAAGAGGGGGGATTATAGAAGCCAATACCTTCTTCGTCCTCCTGTTTCAGCAACACCTCGAGCTCGTGATCGTCGAACGTGTGCCCCAGAGTGTTGAGGATCGTCCTCACTTTCTCCTTCTCGATCCGGCCCGACTTGGTCGAATCGAACATGGAGAATGCTCTCCTGAGCACTGTAAAAAACACGACAATCGAATTTTATTCTCTCGTTGTAAAAAAAAATATATATATATTTTTCTTTATCGGTCTTCACGTCGAAACTCGTGTTGAGACAACGAGAATCGCTCGAATCATAGTATTATTCGATCGAGACGCGAGAAGGTGCGAGCGTTTTCGCGAGGAAAATTTACGGCGAATCTAGTGTTGTTGTTGGAAGCAACCGAGCAATAAATCGTTCACGTCCAGATCGTAGATCCTCGCGTCGAGACCCACCACCACGTCTCGAGGATCGATCGATCGATCGATCCCCTTTGAAGTTTGAAGCGCATATTTGTATATACGCATTTATACGTGGAGATAAAATGCCGGGGCCAGCTGTTTTTCCAAAAAAAATTAAACATTCGCGACCTTCCATCGCGGCGACGGGATGGAAACCATACTTGTTGACGCGTAAGAGGGGCGAAGAAGATCCAGCTGCGGGGGGAGGAGGCGCGCATATCTATTTATGAGCGAATTCCATTCCTCGCCTCGTTCCCAGCGGCGGTCAGCGAGCGGATCCGTTTCTACTTACTTTTCACTTGCTCGTCATCCTGGAACAGACAAGGGATGATACTTCGATATTTATATTCGCACTTTTCTTTTTCCTTTTTCTCTTTTTCTCTTCTTCGTGAAAAGAAGTAACATATTTGATATTCACTTTCGAAACGAATGGCACAGAGAAACGGGGAGAGATCGATCCCCAATTACTATTATCGGGGAAGTGGATCGGGATCGATCGGGAATGGAAGAATCTCCCTTCGTTTGGCGCGGCTCCAAACTGTCCGATTTTCGATAGGACGGAATCCCTCCGCTCCGATTGAATGCGTGCACGTGTGCAACAAGGTCACAGAAAAAAGAGTACTTCTCCCTCCCTCCCTCGTTAATCGATTCAAATAAATGACTGACCATGATCTTTCCCTCGATGAAGCCTCCCGAGAAAACCGAACGCCGTTTGTTTCTTCGTTCTCACGCACTAATGGCTATATCCCACACTGGATATCTTTTATAAGCTCGGCTAGTAACCCGGTGTGGAAGGGGAGGTGAAGAATCTCTCTCTCTCTCTCTTTCTCTCTCTCTCNCTCATCCCTTCCCGCGAACTATCGAAATTCACACGCAGCCTCTGAACGCCGGCTCGGCCGCCAATTCTCGCTATACAATATCGGCATACACCGGCTTTCCTTCCGTCCCTCCTCGTGTAATTGGGTTAAAACGAACTGCCTCATCACCTTCAAGGCCGTGCTAGGCCTCTAGCTAGGCCAACCCTCTAACCGATATTTACTACTCGTTTCCTTTCTCGAACGTGTATATAATATTCTCGAACATTATGTTTACGAGGAGGAAATTTGTTTTTTATAAATTTAATAGTGAGGCCTCGAAATCGGTTTCCAAGGAGGAGGGAGTCGGTCGTCTCGATCGACAAAAGTTTTCTCGGGAGCGAGAAAAAGAATTTATAACGTGTAACGGGGAATGGGAATAGGATGAGATCCATTTTTGTGGATGGAGGGAGGGATATTTATTTAAATTTATAGTTATATGATTGTTTTCTGTACGGGCGGGAAGGCCTGCCAAAAAGTTTTCCTCGGGGAGAAGCAATAAAATTTTCGTAGAGATCGCGAAACGCAACGTTTCGGTCTCGGAGGCGGCCCGCAGAGCACGGCCGAAAAGAAGTGGGGAGGGGGAGGGGATGCTGCTATTTCAAAACATTCCAGACTATGATACTACCGGTTTCCATTCAACCACCACATTCGCTCCTCCAACATTGCTGTGCATGCGTGTTACGTAT